AACTCAAACTGCATAACTATTTTGCAATGTCTACTTAGAAGTAACTAGATCAAAAAGTTTCTAATCTTAGACTATTCGTAATTTCCTGAAAAATCAATTGTCCTGTCTATGACATTTAATTTCAGTGTACCAAATGAGACTAGTTACATCACCATGTGCAGCTATGATGTTTTAAACCTTTGCACATATATTGTTATCTGTTTGAATTACCCGATGAGATATTTACGACGTGCAAATGGCTCAAGGAAGCATGAGAGTCTCGGGCCACTGATGATGACCGATGAAGTGATTATTTTGACAAGTGGACAGAACCCACTGATTCTGTGGAGACACATTTTATTCACTTACTTTAAAGCGAAGCGAGATTGAACTTAAAGTTAGAGTTGACATTTTAAGTTTCCAGTTAACAACATTTGAGCTTTTAGTGGTCACAAAGGAGCTGGCTGGATCGCTCATGGCTGTCAATGGCCATGTGTTTGTTTTGTCAGTTCAGAGCCCAAAATAAATACGTTTATGCTAATCTGAACTTTCCTTGAAATTATTGCATCAGCATGACAGATTCAGTGAAGAGCAAATAGATGATTTTATACAGATCATTTGACTTTGATCTAGTATGTAGAATAAAACCTAAAATAATTTCTTACAGTATGAACCCCAACAACCCCATCTTTTTAACTCTTATTATACTGTATATAATTATTAATATTATTTTGTTGTTGTTATTTTGTTGTGTTTTTGTTGTTTTTGTTTGTTTTGCTTTACAAAAAGCCTGTTTTTATTGTTTTTGTTTGTTTTGTTGTACAAAAACCTGTGTTTTTGTTGTTGTTTTTTTCTGTTGTTCAAAACCGTTTTTGTTTTTTCTAAACCTGTTTTGTTTTGTTTGTTTGTTTTGTTTAATTTCAAAGAATCATTGTCACTTCTATAAAGAAAACAACTTTGATGGACTGTCCTCAAACACATTAATCCAATAATAAATAAGCTGGATTCATATATGTGACAATTAGCATTGTGTTCAGTGACAGCTGCAATGCAGCCCATCTCGCCAGTGCCCTTACTGCCAGTGGAACGCCACTCACATTTCAAAACTTCAGATTTCATTATCTTGATAGAATGGCCTACGACTCGGAAAATACTACCTGGTGGAAATTTTTTATTGAAACAAAATGTGGCTTTTTGAAGACACAGTGAAGAGGACAACAGAAGAAGAAGAAACAGTGCATTCATTTTTT